AGGGTTTACCCATAAAAGAGAAACTATATATATACACAAAAGAGAACATAGGTAAATATTTAATCTTCAAGTAGTTCTAAACACTGTGCTGGAAGATACTATTTTAAAATAGAATGATAGATCTGTATAGCAAAAACAAAACTCTGTAAGCAAAGAGAAAAGATGAGCATGATGTTGGAAAGTCACATTTAATAGATATGATTTGCTTTTTAGATTCAAGATATAAAATTAGTCACCTGTCTTCTTGTATCACTGTACAAGAAGTCCTTTGCCTCCCTCTTTAAAAAAAAATAAGCAACAGATACTTATTTCTCACAGTCTGGAGGCTGGGAAGTCCAAAATCAAGGTGCTGGCAGATTTGATGTCTGGTGAGAACCAGTTTTGTGATTCATAGATGTCATCATCTTGCGGTGTCCTCACATGGCTCATGTGGCTTCTGAGATAGCTTTCTGGGTCTCTCTTTATTTTTTAATTTATAGGGGTGATATTGGTTAATAACATAATGTCAGTTTTAGGTGTACAGCTTTATAATACAATATTTGTGTACTCTATTGCAGTGATTTTCAACAGATGTGCCACAAGAATTTTTAAAACATGCTCTACCTGAGTGTTAAGTCAGGGGCACTGACCTCTTTGCCACCTAGATTGTCAAATTAAAAAATGACAACAGCCAACACAGTAGTTTTCCCATGTATATGAATCAAAATTATTCCTATTTTTTTGGCCAGATAAGCAAAATATTTTTTGGTGTGCCACAGAATTTTAGTAATTAGTTATGTGTGCCTTGAGAAGAAAAAGGTTGATTTCTATGGCTAGGGACTTCCAGTACTACATCAAGTAAGAGAGGTAAAAGTGGACATTCCTGTCTTTTTCTAATCTTGCTGGGGAATAGAGGGACCATACCTAAACACTATAAAGGCAATATATGACAAACCCACTGCCAGCATCATACTCACTCAGAAAATGTTTGAAAATTGCTGCTCTACTGTGTGCCCACCACTCAAAGTCTGGTCTCCTTCCATCACCCTGTATTTGACCCCCTGTGCCCTCTGTGTCCTCCCCTTGCCACCCCTCTTCTCTGGTAAACCACCGTCTGTTGTCTGTATCTATGAATTGGTTAAATTTTGTTTGTTCATTTGTTGCTTTTTGTTTTATATTGCACACATGGGTGAAATCAGTTCTTGTCCTTTTCTGTCTGACTTACTTCATTCACTTAGACTAATTCCCTTAAGGTCCATCCATGTTGTCACAAATGGCAATATTTATGTTTTTTATGCCTGAGTAGTATTCCATCGTGTGTGTGTGTGTGTGTGTGTGTGTATGTATATACATATATGTATATGTATATATACATATATACATATACATACACACACACATATATACACATATATATATAGCACATCTTTATCTAGTCATCCATCAAAGGACACTTGGGTTTTTTCCATGTCTTGCTTTGCCTTTTGAGGCACTTCCTTCTGCATTTACCCTACCTCCCTGTGAGACTCCAAAGGTATCGTCATTCCTCTTTAGTAAAACAAGAAGAGAACTGGGGTCTCATAAAGTGCACTAGTGCTTTTGCCTTTTGTAGTCACACGGTGTTGCTATTGCAGGTTAATCCTGTGCAGTGCCTTGGATGTTTCTCTGCTCAGCAGTGAAGCTCTTGCTGGTCCAGAACTTTGCACACACAGGGCATCATAAAAGCTCTTATAGTTCATATACTTGGAAACTCTATTATTGTTTTCCACATTGCAATATTGTGCCAGGGAGATAGGACATGGACTATGGTAGATAGCAACCAGCATCATTCATTCTTTGAATAAGTACTTAGCGAGCACTTTGTGCCCTGATACTGTTGCATCTACTTGAAATAAAAATAGTGAATAAAACAAAACAAAAAATTCCTGCCATAATGGAGCACATTCATGTTGAGGGTTGGAGTGGGGGAGAGACGTGGTGGCAGAGATAGACAATAGACAAGATAAAGTATTTATGCTATGAAACATCTATAGAAAGGCCTAAGCATGAAATCCTGACATTTTTAAATAATTTTGAATTTCTTCTATGTGGAGTATCAATACAATTTTAGTGAATGTAACAAAGAAGAGAGACTGGGTACCTGATAGATTTAAAACCATAGTTTGCTGATAACCTTCTTACTAGATTGTATTAGCACTGTGGCCACTGTATGTAATGGTACATTATTTAGCTATTAAAAATAGTGGTATAGAAATATATTTATGAATATGGAGAGATTTTTGTGGTAAGTGGAAATGCAGGTTAGGAAATGATACATTTCATATGATCACACTATTAGTGGGAAATACATTTTCTTTTCTCCTGAGGTTTCCTTCCTGGAGAGGGAGTTCCATTAGTGTCATCTGACTTCCCCTGCTCCTGTATCCATTCCATTCATGATGGAATGATGTTTCTGATGGGGAAGCTTGCAGTTCACTGGCCCTATTGATGCTCTTTGTCCATGTAGGAGCTCACTAGTCTGTCCACAGCCACTGAGTGATCTCATCTACTTCTTGATGGAGTAAGGTGTGCAGGGGCTCCCCGCTGCAGGGTGCGGGGTGCCCCTGTGTAGTGCTAAGGCAGGCCCACCTCTGGGTTCGCTCTCAGCAAGCCCATTTGTCCAGCATACCTGGAGCTTCTGTTAGTAATAACAGCAGTTATTTTACTTTTTTTGGTTTGTTTCTCAACTTACTTGTAATGGGCAGGGAAGAGACTATCAGTTTTGGGACGCTCTCTCTGGACACCTCATACCTATCATCCTATTTTATGTAGTTTTATCATATTTTTATTTTTCCATTTATGTGTATAAAAGAAAGTCTGGAAATAATATGTGTTATGATCTTCAAAGAGGTTGGTAGAATTAGAAGATTTTGTGTGTGTGTGTGTGTGTGTGTGTGTGTGTGTGTACTTTTGAATTCACTAAATTTCTTAGATATGTTGTTAAATAGTTAAACATTTTAAATCTTTAGGGGGGAAAAAAATACATCCTGGTCTGACTTTACAGGTAGAGGAATTAGTCATCTCTGTACAAGGGAAGAAGCTGGACCTGAGTAGATAATGTTTCTACCTGCATAACTTGGGGCTTGAGTTTAGAACTTAGCGCAGGGCAAAAATCTATTACTTTTCTAAAACCTTCGGCTTGTCATTTCTTCACATATGTCAAAATAATTGTTTTCTATCCATAGTGTTAGGCAATTTGCATGGCTTTTAAAAGTGAGTTCCAACATTTAACTGAGGTAAACTAGATTCTGTGTTTTTCTTTCCTACCTGACAAATATAGCTGTTTGCTTAAGCCTGTTTATTTTTTGGCTGCTTTTACCATTTATTGCCTTTAAAAAAAGGAAGTACTTTAGATTCTTACCACTGTTATAAGCTTGTATGTATGTAAAACCAGATTTGGCTATATTTGAAATTATAGGATATAAAGGGGAAAAATATAAAAAGTTTCTAAAGTATAGTTTTTATATCCTCATGTCTTACACTAGCAGAAAAAAATGGTATCTCTCGATATTGAAATTTTTTAAAAAGAGTAAAAATACTACTTAATTCAGTCATTATATTCTAGTCATGCTCTTAAAAATTTACTTTAAAATTTTCATTTTGATCATAAATTATTTCAGACCACAAAAAGATACTGAGAATAATTTCTGGACACTTACTTTAGAACTTAAAAAACAAAACTTTATAAATATCATTAAGTCCTTATTTACCCCATTTTGATCCTCCATCTTAAATTTGATGTTTTTCATTCTCATACATATGTTATTTTTAGTACTTGTGTACTTATATCTCAAAATAGAGTGTATTTTTGAGTGTTTTAAAACTTTACATGAAACATTCATATATTGCTGGTGGAATGTAAAATGGTACAGATGCTTCGGAAATTGCCAGATCCTAAAAAAATTGCTGTGAGACTAGCAGTTCTCCTAGGTATATACCAAAGAGGTATAAAAACATATGTTCACACAAAAATTTGTACACAAGTGTTCGTAACAGCATTGCATTATTAATTTAACCAAAAAGTTAAAAGAAATACCCAAATGTTCATCAACTGATGGAGAAATTAAATGAGTTATATCTGTACAGTGGAATAATAATTCAGCAATGAAAAGAAATGAAGTACTCATACGTGCTTCAGCATGGATGAACCTTGAAAACATTATACTAAATAAAAGAAGCTAGTGACGACAGACCATATGTTGCCTGATTCTAGTTATATGAAAAGTTCAGAATAGGAATCTATAGAGACACAAAGTAGATTAGTGGTTTTCTAGGGTAGAAAGTATGGAGGGAGAATGGACTGTGACTACCAATGGGTATAGGTTTCTTTTTAGGTTAATGAAAATTCTCTAAAATTAGATAGCAGTGATGGTTGCACAAGTCGCTATACTAAAAACATTGAGTTGTATACTGTAAGTGGGCACATTGTATTGGAACATGAATTATATTTCAGTAAAGCTGTTTAAAAGGTTCATGTAAATGTTACATATTCTATTAGTTTTTTAAACTCAGCATAAGCCAAACAAATCATTGTATTTTGAGATTTACACATTTTCGTACATTTAGTTCTGTAGGACTCATTTTTACATTCCATTGTATGAAGTTTTTATATTTTAAGAATCTTATTTTTCTTTTTGCTTTTAAAAGCAATGACTCAGTATATAGTTTAATTCATATTTCCTTATATGACAACACATTTTAAAGGTTTTCTTCCAAATTAGAATTTGATAGCATTATTGATAGTTTCTAATTTATTGTTGACTAAATTTATAAGACATTTTATTGGTGTAACGTAGAACATTTAATTCATTTATTTATACAATTTAAAATTGAAATGAGCTAAAGTACTCTCTCTTCTGAAGTTTTTTCATAGTTCTTTTATATTTAGCAAAAGCAAAGGTAGGGCTGCTTCTGTGCCTTTCTTGTTATCGTAGTGTTACAAAAGATGTGTCCTAATTTTTGTGTATGCTAATATCTTATAGAAAAAGCCACAAATGAGTACAATACTACGGAAGATTGGAGCCTTATTATGGACATATGTGACAAAGTTGGAAGCACTCCTAACGGGTAAGATGCCTTATCATCCTCAGTAAGTGTCTAAGGACATAAGAACCTGTGTCTCTTTTCTTGATGTAAATTTGAAAAGTTACTCTTTACTTTGGGGGGAATAAAAACAAAGAGATCGTAGTGGTGCAATTTATGGGAATAACCTTATTCTGAAAGAACAAATGGAAAAAGTTCAACCGAAAACCTGAGATAAGTTAAAATACATAAAGCCTTGGCACAATAGAGACACATGTTAACAATGAATAGACTAGTCGTTTAGGAAATTCTCTTGTAACTTAGACATTTATGGGAGTCTTTTAATAGGGTAAATAAATACAATAATTTAATAGATAATAATGCTGAAAAGCATTTCAGTAATCAGTAGGTAAATATAGTAACGTCATAATGAAAAAAGTGAATATAAAAAAGAGGTGCTTTGGGGGAGAGATGCAGCAATTAAGCTGAACTGATTATACTTTAGAAGTTGAGAAGACTGAAGAAAGCATTTGTTTTAACATTACAACTTCTAAAGTACATTCATGCATGTTTATACTTAAACCTTTTAAGACTATATATACTGCTCTTTTTTCCCGAAAGATAAGAATTTGCTGTCCAAAAGCTAAGTCTCTCTTGAACAAATGAAAAGATATTTTTTATATGATAACAGTTCTCTTGTTTCAACTGACTTTTTTTGAAATCACCTTTTTTATATGATACAGTTCTCATTTTGACTGACCTTTTACCTCTTGATTTTGGAATATACAACCTTTGCAATATTTGCTTTTTTTTTTTTTAACTTCTACAAGTCTATGAACAAAAGAGTGTGTAAAATTATTTTAGGTAATAAGTTTACAGGATTTCATTTTTAGATTTAAAGTTACTTGGTAGTAATATACCTCATATTTTTAACATGTGATTTGAAATTCTGAATATTTACTTAACCTTCTTCATTTTTTTCTTAGAGCAAAAGATTGCCTAAAAGCCATAATGAAAAGGGTACATCATAAGGTTCCTCATGTTGCTCTGCAGGCATTAACTGTAAGTAAAAGTCATGTTATTATTTGATCCAAATTTTAAGTGTATATTTATTTTAGTAAGTTAATATCTCAACATATGTATATTGATTTTTATTTTAATTAATAGCTTCTTGGGGCTTGTGTGGCAAACTGTGGAAAGATATTTCATTTAGAAGTATGTTCCCGTGATTTTGCAACAGAAGTACGTGCTCTGATAAAAAATAAGGTAAATTTTTAAAAGAGAAGAAATATGTTATTAAAAAATATGTACTCTATGTCTTTTTAACTATATATATAGCATTGATAAAGTTGTATTATAAATGAAATCATTTTTAGACAAATTTGAAATGAAATAAAACTTCCTGTTCTAAAATTTGATGTTTTTATTTGTAGCACCAAAAACTGTTTTCCTCCCCAAGGCATATATGCTAGTGATAATAGCTAATCTTTACTGCTGGTTAGTTACCAGTCACTGCTTTAAGCATTTTACACTCTCTTGTTTAATGCTCTTAACAACACTTAGATTCTCTTGTCATTTTATAGATGCAGAAATTGATGTTTAGATGTTAAGTAACTTGTCCAAGTTAATGCCAGCCAGTAAGTAGCATAGCTCTGGTTCAGATGCAGGTTTCTGTAACTCCAGTGTCCAAAATAACCACCGTTTTATACTGATTCCCATAAGAGATGGAGAGCAAAACGGGCCTTTATCCTAAAGCAGGGTAGCTGGGTCTTCACTCTAGGGATGTTGTTTCTTTTAAGATGGAAACTGAAGCACCATTCTCATGCTATTAGTGGCAGAAATACCAGAATTGTAGTTTAGTTGACATAAACAGCTTATAAGAAAACATTAAAGAAATAACCTCTGAATATAAAAAGCTTGTAATTATATTAAAACGTAGAAATTGATGTTCAAAAAGGGTAATTTTGCAAGAAATAATTATATCTTAAAAATAAATAGGTATTTATCAAGTACTTGACTAGGCTAGGTATTGTTGGACTTCTGTTGACATTCATATCATTAAAGGAAATTTGGGTGGTAATTCTCTTTGTTGTTAAATAATTCAAGTACTTATTTTAACCAGCTCTTTTTCTTTGCCTTTTCTTTAAAAGGCTCATCCTAAAGTATGTGAAAAACTGAAATCTTTAATGGTGGAGTGGTCAGAAGAATTTCAAAAGGACCCCCAGTTTAGTTTAATATCTGCAACTATTAAATCTATGAAAGAAGAAGGAATTACTTTTCCTTCAGCAGGTTCTCAGGTAAGAGATTCACTCAAACCCATGGTTGACCCTTACAATTTTGAGGGTATGTATCTTACGTAAAATCTGGGCCAGGTGTATTTTAATCATCACCCACCTCCACTCTGCATGTGCCTATCTGGCATAGTGTCTTATATTTAGCAGGTATGCTAGTTGTAGTTAATTTCTTCTACATATCAGAACTTTCCAAAGTGACTCAGCCATAAATAATCTGTTTAATGCTACTCTAGAGTCATGCAGAAGGCAAAGGTGGATGAGAGAGCCTTATGATCAAGAAATGTATAGTAAATTTGAAGGGTAGCTATGTACATGTGAAAAATAAGTAAATTATAAGTGAGAAATATGGATGAGGGGTACAAGTGCTAGCATAGAGAGGTAACTACAGACTGGGCTGGTGAAAGTGAAGACATAGAATTTTGGGATTGGAATGTATTCAAGAGGTAGAGAAAGCTTAAGACCTGTTTGTTAAAGAATGAATATGCCTGCAAGGAATGGTTTATATATAGGGCGGGTGGAACTATAAGACGAAGTTTATTTGGGGAGATAGGGGATAGCTTTAGTATGATGGAGTGGAAGGCAGATGTCATGAATCACTGTGTGGACTGTTTAGGTCTGTGAGGGAAAAACATTGTATCGTAGGTTTTGCTCTCAGCCTCTATTGCTCTCCAGTTAATATCATTATATGGGTTAGGGAAAGAGACTGGGGGGTGGGGGAAGGGGGGAGAGAGAGAGTTTTAATTTTATTGTAGACTCTAGACTAAAGAAACAAAAAGAATCTTTACAGCTGACCAGGCCAAAGGACTCTAGGTAGATTTTGGGGATAGAAGTCTTTTAAGTAATAAAAAGCAAGCATTGTCCTGCTCTGTCCTTTCTGCATGTCATTCTCAGAAATCTGTGTGACAGAACTGGTTGATGATTCAGAATCCTGGGCATCTCTGTCTTCCATGCCCTTAAATTTAAGCATGACCTTCCTTAATCCTCTGCTATGCCTGAAGAGCCACCACCATTCAAACACAATGAGTAGTAAAAGAGGGCTTAACTTGCATTCCTGGTCTTCACCCCTTGTTGTCTCTGTCCTCCTTCCTCTTCAGTAGAAAAGTCATCATGGCTTTTTGCTGCCGCTTCCCTTATAACTATACGCCTGCAACAAAATAGCGTTTCTCACTGAGTTGAGAGACCTTGGACTATGTAGATAAGGAAGTGCAATCAGGGAAGATGCCTATTTAAGTACTTTCTGTATGCCAACTTCTGTGTCAGATACTAAGATTTATGTACTGTATAAGCCAGTTCGTGTCTTTTTTGAGTTTATAATGTTTTCTTGAAAATTCTCATGTTTTATTTTAATATTTGAAAACAACTACTTAAACTTATCGTAAAGGACTTCACTTTTAAATGAAATTCATTAGTTATTACCAGTTTTATTTTAAATTAGATGTGTGAGTAATTATAGAGCTTGTGTTTTCTTTGAAAGGGTAGTTGTGTTTATTTTACTTATACATTTACAGACTGTCTCAGCTGCTGCCAAGAATGGTACATCATCAAACAAAAACAAAGAAGATGAAGACATAGCTAAAGGTAAATCATCAAATGTGTAATTTAGTGTTACTGGAAACACCCTTGACAGAACAATTTATTGCAATAAAAATTATAATAAAATTGGGTATACTTTTACTATTTTACCTCACATATAGACACTAGTAGTGTCTGAAAATTAAGTAAAACAATTGACAAGAAAACAAGATTAATTCATTATCTTTGTCAATTATATATATTTAAAGTCATACCTTTGAAAAACTTACATTTCACCTTTTCTTTAATGCCAAAGTTATGAGTCAAGCACAGAAATATATGTTCCCAGCTTGTCCTATATGGAAAGCTACTCATATTAAAATGTCACAATCTGTTTGCTATAAAAATAATAGCTGCTGTATATGACAGACTGTTATAATCAGGAATGAGCAAAAACTTTATTTTAAAAAGTGTCATGATTCTCTGCCCCTCTAGAAAGTTAACTGCTTAGTGTTTATGTGGACAAATAAAATACTCACTTGATTTATCCTCATTAAATATTACATTAACATCTCTTTTTAAACTTTAAAAAAATCAATTAATTCTGGCTACTTTTTTTTGCATTTTAATTTTTCAAACTAGCTATTGAATTATCGTTGCAAGAGCAGAAGCAGCAGCACACAGAAACAAAGTCCTTATATCCATCTGCAGATGTTCAGTTAAATAATAAAGTTGCAAGGAAAGTGAGAGCTTTATATGATTTTGAAGCCGTTGAGGACAATGAACTTACCTTTAAACATGGTGAAATTATTATTGTTTTGGATGACAGGTATGTTTTAAATCTTTATTTCTGGAATACTTTAAAGTTAAAGGTAATATCCTTAATTTAAAATCCTGGATATCCATATCCTTGACTTTATATATCACAGAACGTTTTCATATCTTAATTACTTGTTTTCTAAAACAAAACATAAAAGACACTAGGTAATGTGATTTTCTTAATTGTCATCTTGAAGTTGGTTTTACTTTTTATCTTAGATAAAATATATATTAGATGACTGATTATCACAATCGGGAAACATAAATATTCAGTCATCTGAATATTTACTTTGGCAATTTTGTATACCAAAATTACTAACAAATAAACTTTAGCAAGAAATACAGCTATATTATCTTGATCAAAGCAACTGAAAGGTATGCTCGGCTCCTCCGTAATTCTTAATTTGTTACTCAACTCTCCCTCAAAATTTCTCTATCATTTAAAGTTGTAATAAAGACTACATGTATCTATATTGGGTGTAATTCCAGCCTTTACTTTGCTTTTAGACGAAGTTGATGAAATTTAACAAGAGCGAGACCTAACAGCTTGTTGCCATGAACAAAGCTTGCAGATGTATCTGGTATTCATTATAAATAGCTTAGTAAAGATAGCATATTTTTAAATGGATAAATACACAAAAATGGTTGTACTGAGCTGTGGTAAATATTGAGAAACTGTTATGTAATAGGCTCTGTTTATAATAAAAAGTGAATGACATAGTTCTGTCTTCTAAAACCTAAAATAAAGTATGGGAGTTAAAATTACTATATAGGTAATTGTGTGAAATGCAGAATATGAATGCCATAAAAGAGGTAATGTTGGGATCCAAAGAGAGCAGAGTAGCATATGGTGCAAGCATCTGGGAAAGAAGGCCTGTCCAGGGTCCATTTCAGGTGAACTTTGATTGATTTTGACAGGACAGCAAGAATTTTGCAATAACCTAGAATATGAAAAGAAAGCTCTCTTAGACAGTCAAGGTAACACTATGTTCACAGAAGCTTTGTGCTTTTTACTAAATAACCATTTGTAATGGAGCACCTGACCCTGAAAGAGAGTAAATAGATGTGAAGGTGAAGAGGTAGTGTGGGCCTTGAACACTGACAGTCTGACAGGTCAGGCTTCTGAGTGTAGTTTTAGTTAGAATATTTACAGAATCACTTACACTTCTGTTAACTGTTATGCAACTATAAATTTAAACACATTTGTAAAATAAATAGAAACAGAACTAAAATGGATTAGTTTTTGCCCTGAGATTCAAGTTTTGAGAATTACTTTAGTAACAAATTTTTCTAAAATTAATTGCTGTTCACATGGTAAATACTGATAAAAGGCACAGGTACTTCATTGCTCTCTCTAGCAGGTGTTTGTATTACCCTGTGTTAGGGCAACTGAATCTCTTGAGTTTTTCTTTAGTAACTGTGTGAATCCTTCATACATGTTGTATCTCTTGATGTCACTTGGTGTTTGTGCAGCATTATATACCTGTTAATAGGCTACAGGTTTGCAGTGAGTAAAGGGTTATGTTATGGTGCTGCATGTGTTATTTTCACTGGTGTCTAATTAAAGCACAAATTCATTAAGTAACTTAGATGCATACAAAGCAATTTTCAGTTGAGACTTACTGCTGCAAAAAAGAGAACTTTTTTCTTTGTAATTACTGAGAGAATGCAACATCGATATGATGGAATGTGTAAGTTGATTGCCCTCAGTTTGAAGATAGGACACCCAGTCTTAAAATTTCCATAGACATGCTCATCAACATGTATAGGTTAAATGTTGTCATTCTGGGTGATTGGTAATCACTATGAGATTTTAAACAGAAAAGCAAACTTGGTTACTAAAGTCAAGTGGCAATGTTAGGTTAAATGGAGGTCATCTAGATGATCCAGAATATGACTGTATTCCTTGTATTTTCATTGCTGTGAAAATGAAAATATAAAATTAAAAATTTCACATGTAGAACTTGAAAGGAGTCCTTGAAAATACAGTGTTCTTGGACTTCAACTTAAGAAACATGGAGTTGATAGAAAAAGCAAGCATTTCTTATTAACAGTATACCCAAAAAACTTTTTACTTTCTCCATTTTTAGCTTTATCTCACCACTCCTTGTTTGTTCTGTATGTGCCATTTCAAATAATTAAGTGGAATTCTTGCAGTTCCAGAAATGTCATGTTGTGATTAGACTTTTGTGGCATTGTACATTTGGTTCTCTCTGCCTAGAAAGCCCTGTCAGAGAAGCAAGTGCATTTAGAAAAGAAAAGGAACTTTATTTGGAACGAAGGTTTGCAAGGGAGTCCAGGCCAAGGATTTGTTCCCCAAATTAAAAAATAAAACAGATAATTTAAGGAAAAGACCCCCACAGCATTACCAAGTTTCCAGGTTTACTATTTGTATGTTTGTTGTAGAAATAGCACTTTTCTCACATGATTGTCATATCAGTAAAGGCCTCACCGTCTTCAGCCATTGTCATTGTAAAAGTCAGCAAGTCAGTTATTTTGGTTAAGAAGTCAGAGACTAGATTTTCGTCTATTTTGAGACCTAAAATGAGACAAGATAACTTTGTTTTTTGTTTACCTCAGTGTGCAAAGTATTTTATTTCTTTGTACTTTTTATTTTCTTGCTTATCCATAATGGAGAAGGGCATTTTTATTTCCACAGCCCTCATTTCCTTTTCCTCCTGGTGAGTGCCTACTTAACCTTCAAAACCCATGTCAGATTTTTTATCCCCTTAGAAGCCTTTAAACCCTTCTCTGCCTTTACCTGTAAATGAGGAGTTCGATCTTGGTGCTGCTATAGCTCCCTGAATATAAGCGATAGCATTTCTCATATTGTATTGTCCTTACTTCTTCACATATGTCTCCTGCTAGAAGAATTGATTCTAAAGAGGGTCAGCACTTCCCTGGGTGGGAGGAAAGGGGAAGGAGAAAACAAACCCCAGAAGACAGAGCAAGGTAACATGTCTTAGGTGGTAGGGAGGGTTGAAAAATATGGTACTAAAGTTTAAATTTCTTGAGGGCAGAAATTGTGTCTTAATTATCTATGTAACTTCAATTGCTTCAGTGCTATGTAACCCAGCGTCTATCCCCTCCTTGGTGGGCTTTCGTAAAGGGTAGCTGAACAGTCAGTTTGTTGAAGGTAAAGTTTATGTCTTTTACACTTGCATCATTTTTCACTTAACTGTGACTGACTTTCTTTCTTAACATAAAAATCTGTAAATGCTGTTATTTTCCTTAATTTTCAAATGGTTTCTGTGAAACTACAGTGCCAAATTACCTTAATTTAGGAATTTATATATTTTGTGCCATTAACATTCCATGGAATCAACTGATTGTCAATGGAGAGAATATAGAGCTGGATTACGGATGGGAAGGAATCATCATGCTTTGACATGGCATTTGGTTGTTTTGCCTACTTCTGTATTTCATCAAGGCGTTTGCAGTAGTGGTTGATGGGGGGCGGGGGGCGGATTATCCTACATTAGTAGAACCACTAAGGAAGACTACAGATAAAATTGTTGATAGGTTCAAGTAAAATCCATGCATCAATTTCACAGGTTTGTGTTCTTTGGTTTTATCTAAAAATTCCTTTAAGTTCAACTTTCCTTTTTAAAGTGGAAAGTTCAGCTTAGGAAAGTATGTGAGAATAAGGGAAAGTGTCTCATCCTACAGATATGATACCTTAGAACTGTCAATATATCAGTTATTTTCAGGCTTTAAGAATTTGGGTAATAGCTCTTTGTAGCACTTTTTTTTTTTTTTTTTACATCAGAGCTAAATTTTATTAAAATCAAAGCATTAGTGGGCCCTGTAAGATTAAACAAGTTCTTGTCTCAAATTTCCTTCTCAATAAGCATAACTTACATATAAAAAGAAATCCTGGCTAGCATTATTCTCAGGAGATGAACCATCAGCCTGTGAATTATGACTTAGTAAATTCCCTGTTGTACTTTTTAAATGAAATAATGCTTCAGAATCATAGAAATTAATTAATCCTTAAGTTTCATCTTTAAGAATGCCTGCTCAGTAAGTCAAATTTTATATAAACTTACCATTATTTCTAGATTTTATGATTGTCTGTAGAGACAACTTTATGAATCATTGTTCAAGAGAATCAATGGACAACTATTAAAACTGGTGAGAATTCATCAAGGTTGTTGGATACGAGCTCAACAGATAAAATCAGTGGTATACTTTACTGTAATCACAACTACTTAGAAAATGTAAGAGCAAAACATGTCATTCTCAATAGTTTCAAAAATTATAATCAAAACTAAATAAACCTAACAAAGGCGTATTTTTCCTTTATGGAAAAAATTATATAGAATTTGTTGAAAGATATAAAGGACTATAACTATGATATTTACATAAATATAAATGGAGGGAGATACTGGCTTCATGGTAAAGAAACAGTATTATAGATTTAATTTTTCCCAATGAATGCATAAATTCAGTGTAATTCCAATTAAAATCCCAACACAAGTTCTCTTTCATAGAGAACTTGAAAACACTTTAACACTAATGTAGAAATGTGAAGGTATACAACAGCCAGGAGGGTCCTTGCCCTGCCAGGAATCAAGGCATATTAATAAGTTCAAGTACAAAATATATAGACTATAGTAACAGAACAGAGTCCAGAAATAGGTTCATGAACAGATAGCAGCTTGCTGTTTGAAAGATATGATAAATCAGTAAAAAATGAATGACATTATTCAGTAAATTTTGCTGAGGTGAATGGCACTTTATACAATGCAAATAAAATTTGATTCAGATTTACACAGTACATAAAGTTTCATTCCAGATGAATTAAAAGATCTAAACGTGAGAATGGAATAAAAAAGAAAACTAAAGCTATTAAATACAAATATATAGAAGAGATTTAAGAATTCAATGATAAAGATTTCTCTTAAAAAAGTGTAAGTTGTAAAAAAAAAGAGATTGTTAAATTTGATAACATGGAACAAAAAACACAATTAAAAAAACCCATTAAACATGTTAAAAGACAAGTTTGAGAAAAGGTATTTTCTTAATGAAATTCAGACAGACAATTGCTATCCAGAATGTGGAAAGAACATCTATAGATCCATGAAAAAAGACAAAAGACCCAGTGGGAGTCAAAAATGTACAGAAGGCATGAACAAGGCAGTTTACAGAAGAGGCGATCGGAAAGGCCGACAATCATGTGGATACTCGGGAATGCCAATGAGACATGATTTCTCTCCTGTCTGATACCCACTGTTGTTTGGACAGTTAACACGCATGAGGGGAAATGACATTCTGAAGGGCTGCTTAGGGAAGAAGGATAGTGAACTGCCATGACCCCTTTAGGGAACATTTGACAATATCTAGTAAAATGAGAAATGCTTATATCCTGTGGCCCAGCAAGTCCATGTTTATATATAAACCTAGAGAATTATTGCACGTGTGTCCCAGAATCTAGAGTGATCATTATCCCAATCCTTATAATGGTGAAAGACTGGAAATTCCTAAATGTCCATGTATATAGGAATGGATAAATCAAATATGCTGTATTTGTGTGATGGAACTTTGATTTAAAAAGGATAAACCTCTGAATCAGAGACCTCAAAATATTAACATAAAATTAAAAAGATCTATAATGATTAACATCTAAATCTATAGAGTAGGCTTAAAGATACTTGTAAACAAAAAATACACTGGCAGGAAGGCTACACAGGAGGTGCTGTTGTTGATAAAGGGGACTTCAGTGTTATCTATAATCTTTTTATTATTTTGAAAGCCTAGAATAAAATGTGACCAATTGCTAATTGGTTCTAAATATAAGTATGGGAATATGGATTTGTTTTATTTGTGCTTTTCTATATCTTTTATTAAATTTAAGAACCACTTTTAAATATAGTTGCATATGAACTAGTATTTTTCAAAGTAGGCTAAATTTAATTTTTAATTCATCTTGACACAAATGCACTAAAATGTATAGGAACAAATGACATTTTTGCACTGTATTTTCAGTGACGCCAACTGGTGGAAAGGAGAAAATCACAGAGGAGTGGGACTCTTCCCATCTAATTTTGTAACAACTAATTTAAACATGGAGTCTGAGGCAGGTAAGTTAAATCTTACAAGAGGTTAAGTTTATTAAAGTTTTTTGCACTTGAATTTATGGTTTAATTTTGACTATAAAGTAAATTGGCATTTAACTCCTGTTTTAAAACATTTATGGGCAACAATTTAACCTACTTCTTAATGAGATTAAGGGGTTAATTTATCCAGGTCAATTCCAAGAATTATTTCCTTATCATAATATTTTAAATCCTTTGACAGTTAACATACAGTCACGTATAAGGCATAAAATAATCTGTGATCATGTAAATATTTAAATCAACCTAGTTATGATTTAAGAGGCCATTTGTGTCTGATCAGTACAAAGAATACTGGTTTTATTCATCACGGAACCACAGTATGGAAGGAGGGGTGGTGCCGGTAAAGTCTGGTTGACAAATGCTGCGCCAAATATGGTTGCAGGGTTAGAAGTACTCCTAAGTTTTAGACTTCTCCCTACCTTGATTTGATGTTAGGGCACTCCAGGTAATATTAAAGTAATGTAATCAAGATAGTAGGTACCCTCACTTGGTTTTGTAGCTACAGACAGTTCCCCTCACATACTGTCAACCATGCAGAGAAAGCTTCCATTTGTAACCATGCAGAGAAAGCTTCCATTTGTTATGCAGGCAGGGAGGTGACCAGAGCTGAGTGTAAAGAACAGCTAGTAATACAAGTAATTGTGGTGATCAGAAATAAAAGTTCGGTGGTGTTTGAGCAGTCATGTATCACGCATTTTACTAAATCCTTTGCTTACACTATTTATATAATCCTCACAAGTCTGTGAGAATAGGTACTTTTGTTACCCCATTTTACAGGTAAGGAAACAGGCTGAGAGGTTATGTGGCTACTGGGTGATAGAGCTGGGATTCTGAAGTTAGCCAGTCTGTCTTTATGCTGACTCATTGCAGGACATGTTGGTGATAATCCTTACAGTTCTAGAGGACTTAAATCAAAAGCTCTATGCATTGTATATAACAGTAATTTTCAACCTTTTTAATCTCATAGCACACATAAACTAATGACTAAAATTCTGTGGCACACACAAAATATATTTTTTGCCAATCTGACCAAAAAATAATTGGTATAATTTATTTTCTTAATTTTTAAAAATTTTATTGATTACTCTATTACAGTTCTACTTTTTCCCCACATTCTCCCTTCCACTCAGCACCCCCCACTCCCTCAGGCAATCCCCACACCATTGTCCATGTCCATGGGTCATGTATATAAGTTCTTTGGCTACTCCATTTCCTACACTGTACTTTACATCCCCATGGCTATTCTGTAATTATCTATTTGTACTTCTTAATCCCTTCACCTCTTCACTCATTCCTCTATACCCCGCTCTGATCTGGCAACCATCAAAATGCTCTCCTTATCCATGCTTCTGTCTTTGTTCTTGTTTGCTTAGTTTGTTTTTTAGATTCCATTGTTGATAGATATGTATTTATTGCCATTTTATCGTTCACAGTTTTGATCTCCTTCTTCTTAAGTAAGTCCCTGTAACATTTCATACAATAATGGTTTGGTGATGAAGGACTCCTTTAGTTTTTTCTTGTCCGGTAAGCTCTATATCTCCCCTCTAATTATAAATGATAGCTTTGCTGGGTAGAGCAGTATTAGCTGTAGGTCCTTGCTTTTCATGACTTTGGATAGTTCTTGCTAATCCCTTCTAACTTGCAAAGTTTCTTTGGAGAAATCTGCTGACAACCTAGTGGGAACTTCCCTGTAGGTAACTAACTGCTTTTCTCTTGCTGCATTTAAGATTCTCTCTTTATCTTTAAGCTTTGGCATTTTAATTATGATGTGTCTTGGAGTGGGCCTCTTTGCATTCACCTTGTTTGGGACTCTGTGCTTCCTGGACTTGCATGTCTATTTCCCTTCACCATATTAAGGGAGTTTTCTTTCATTTTTTCAAATAGATTTCCAATTTTTTTCTCTTTTTCTTTTCCTTCTAGCCATCTCTATGATGCAAATTTTGAAATGCTTGAAGTTGTCCCAGAAGCAGTTTATATTACCCTCATTTTTTTGGATTCTTTTTTCTTCTGGTTCTGATTGGTGGTTTTTTGTTTTCCCATGTTCCAAATCATTGATTTGATTCTTGGCTTCATCCATTCCACTGTTGTTTCCCTGTAAATTGTTCTTTAATTCAGTTAGTGTATCCTTCCTTTTTAACTGAATCTTTCATATGCTGTTGAGGTCCTCACTAAGTTCCTTGAGCATCCATATAACTAATGTTTTGAACTCTGGCTTCTGATAGATTGCTTATCGCCATTTTGTTTAGTTCTTTCTCTGGAGATTTAATCTGTCCTTTCACTTGGGCCATGTTTCTTTGTTTCCTCATTTTGGTGGTCTCCCTGTGTTTCTTTCTGTGTATTAGGTGGAGCTGCTATGACTCCCTGTCTTGGTAGCATGGCCTAATGTAGTGGATGTCCTATAGGGTTCAGTAACATGGCCTCCCCGTCACCCAAGCTGGGTATTTGAGGTGCGCCCTTCGTGTGGGCTGATACACCCTTCTCTTATAGTTGAGCCTTGATTACTGTTGGCAGGTCAATGGGAGAGATTTACTCAGGCCAGTCAACTTCTAGGACTGGCTGTGACCACTGACCACCAACCATGACCCTCCATGGAGGATCAGCTGTGCAGGGGCAGGGTGGTGGTCCTCTGATTTGGTCTATAGCTGTCCCCTGGGAGTGCAAGCTTTTAGGTTGCCTGGGTGGTGCAGGCCAAGGTCAGCCCCCACCTGTGTACTGCCTGAGGCCACTCTTCCTGAGCTATAAAGCAATCTGAGATGGCTGCTACTCGTGCTGCGCTTGGAGGTTCCCAGGCAAAGACAAGCTGTGAATCTAGGCTGGCTGCTGCTAGTGCTGGGCCTGGGCCCACTCAGCAAGAGGTATGGCAGCTGGGGGCTCACTGAGGTCGGCTTTTGCTTGTTTGAGAAGATTCAGGAAGTTGTGAAGCATGAGACAAGACCAGCCATTCATGTGGAAAAGTCACTGTTAACAGCTTGAGTGGGCCTGTAATTTGGGTGGGATGGAGCCTCAGGAGATCTCTTGGGTGGGGCAAACAGTGTTAGCCAGGTTGATGGAATCTCAGATAGAGCTCCCACTTGCCAGCTCAGTGGCTATGTGTGGGGCAGGATCAGAAAAGGGACAGTGGCCTCTTCCTGTCTTTTTGTCTGCGGGAAAGCTGTCCCCTAGCTCTCATCTTGATTCCAAACACTCAGTTCCTCTCTCTATGCCGCTGGTGCCTTTCAAGCTGCTACCCTAATGGTGGAGCTCAGAGGGAGTGAGTTTGAGTAAGTCCATGTGTGGGTTCTTTAAAAGGAACTGTTTGGGACTCCAGCTGTTTCCTTTCACCAACTCATTCCATGCTGGTTTTTGCAACCAGAAGTTAAAGGAGCTTATCTTCCTGGCGCTGGAACCCTGGGCTGGGAGGCCAGGTATGGGTCTGGGACTCCTCAGTCCCGAGATATCCCTCCCAATTTTTATCCACTGTGCGTAGGTATGGGACTAGCCCATTCCACAGCTCTGCTCCTCCTACCAGTCTGGATGGATATGTTTTCTTTAATTCCATAGTTTTTGGGTTTCTGATGGTTTCTGAGAGATGGTTGTTCAGTTTAGTTGTAATTTTGATTTGGTTGTGTGAGGAGGAGGAGAGCTGTGTTTACCTATGCCTCCATCTTGACCAGAAGTTGCCATTTATGTCTTTTACAAGTTTCTGGTAATGACATTTGGGAGAGGACACCTTTTGGAACCAGCAACGCAGCACTAGACACCATCCTCCTGCCTGGTACTTGATACATTAATAGGCATCTTATGATTGTTTAGACACTTGTGAATCCATCCAACTATCCCAGTCTGTATTTTTCCATCTTGTGACTAACTCTGTTAAGTGGCTTGATGAATTCCACCTAGTTTTGTTTTGTTTGTTGTTTTTTTTTGTGGTCATAGCAGAAAAGAAGAGCATTGGCTTCATGGTGGATACTTTATTGACCAGCATCCATACCATGCTCAGGGTTACTTCTTGGTTTCCCTGTTTTGTTTTGTTTTTTAATTCTTTCTGCATAAAAGCTCTCTCTCTTTTTCTCTTTTTTTCCTCCTTTTACTTATATTCATAGTACTCTTTCATGGCCAGAACAGTTCTGCCTCCCCCAAGAAGCCAGCACCCACCTTGTCTCCATCAGTTCCAGGCATTGATATTTGCTATAGAAGGCAGTTTGGCCCTTAACTTTCAGGTGTTTGGTGTATTACCTGTATAGCCAGAATGAAACAGAAACTTGGGAAATACTGTTGGGGGAGTGAAGGTTAGTCTTTGTCTTGATCAGACCATAACTATAAGCTTTTTGAGGGGAGCTGCTAGCCTAACAATCTTCTTTTTTATTGAGGTAAGATTAATATAACATAAAATGAACTGCTTTAAAGTGAACAGTCAGTGCTTACAGTTCTTTTTAACTCACACACAATGCATGGCACAAAGCTGGGCATACAGGCATGCTCAAATAGGCGTTTGCTAACAATAACCTGATATAACAGTCTATCATTTTCCTCCATAATCATGCTAATGACCAATTATCCAGATCCTTTGAAATGGATTTTTAAACATAGCCAGTGTTTTATTTTTGGAAACTCTTAAGTTGTGGACTAAAGGAAGCTTTATTCTGACAATATTAGAGTCTCCCATGCTCTTATTTAGGGGACAAAGAATTTTTCTGGATGAGCAAGTAGCACTTAGAAAATAGATTTCAGCCTTCTCTATGTGAAACTTCTTTTGTGTTGCTTTACCTACTATCAAAGTTCAGTTTCAATCAACTCTATTTTTTCTTCATATAGAAAATACATTTTTATAGCAAGGGAAAGACTGTAGAAGGAACTCAGACATAACTGGAATTAGCTAACTAGATAATACTCTATTCTCTTCTATATTTTTTTCACCCTAATGGAAATACTCCCTTTTCCAGAAAATGCCTGTAATAACTTCTCATTAACATTGCTTGCTTGTTCCATCAGAATGTAAGTTCTATCAGGGCAGGTGTTCTTGTCTGTTTTACTCACTGGTCTATTTCCAATGTGTAGAACAGTGCTTGGCACATTGTCAGGGCTAAATGAATATTTGTGGCATGAATGGTTGAACTTATGTAATGTTATTGATTATGAAATGTGATGACTATAATATTTAAAGGGTTTCCTTTTTTTCTTATGGATGCTCACGGACTATTTAGAAATTAGTGACTAAAATATCAAAGGAAATGCTGAGGAATTTAAAGTTTACTTTGTTTTTATAGCAGCTGTGGACAATTTGAATGTGATTGATGATGAGGAGGAAGAAATTAAGAAATCAGAGCCTGAGCCTGTATATATAGATGAGGTAGAGTCCTTCTTTTGCTTAATAGTTAAATTATTGAGACTTTATAATATACTATCTTTAAATGCTTGGAAAGTGTAATTTCTATATTCATTGAAATTAAAACTCTAGTGAGTTTTTAAAGTGTCTTACCATTTTTTTAGGAGAAGATGGATAGAGCCCTTCAGGTACTTCAGAGTATAGATCCAACTGATTCAAAACCAGACTCCCAAGACCTTTTGGACTTAGAAGGTACTTAGTGAATATTAGGGATTACTTTAATGTCCTTTAATACTTTAGCTGTTTATAGTGCCTTAAATTTCTTCTGCCGTATGTTTGCTTATAGAGATTAGAAATACCTGGTGGGAAACAGACTAGTGATGTAATGAACATATTACCTGGAAATTGTTGTTATAAACCTGCCTATCCTGTTCAAGAAGGAAGTCTTTGTATTTCTGTAAGACCGCTAAAGAAATTGGCTGAAGAGATTTGCAGTCCAAAAAAGGACAGAATTAGAAATAATAGCCTATTAAATTAATTGAGTTGAAATGTTAGCAATTCTTACTCCTGTTTCAGTTCTTCTATCGTAATTTTAAAGGTCAAAATAATACATGATCTGTGTTAACTTAGTAATATAGTCATTTGATGCATGCTGGTGTGTTTTTTAGATCCCAAGATATGTGAAACAAATAAAACAAACTTTTTAAAGAAAAAATCCTTTGGGAAAAAAATCGGTGATAAATGGATAAATCTTCTTAAATCTTTTACTAGAAGAAAGTTTAGTTATGAATATGGAATAGTGTAGTGTTAATTGTATCAGTGTTTATATTTGAAAATACATGTGCGTAATTTTGAAGTGGCTTAAGTAAACAAAAATGTTCATATCTCATCTGTATATAATTACATATTTTATATACTGACTCAAGTTCATTTTACTTAGCTAATAAGATTTTGAGGTAACTCCAAATTTCACAGCCCATAAAACTTCGTACTTTCAGAGAACAAAGTGAGGTTTCTGTTTTTTAACTTTGGTCACATTGATATTGGTGCTCAATAGTATTAAAATTAGGTCTTTTATAGTCCTTTCTCTAGCATAATGTTCTCTTTGTATTATTCATGATGTTGCATAGTGGTTTTCTGTTATTAAAAATTGTTGACATTTACTTAAACTGGTTTAAGTTTAAAGATTTTAAAATATTCTTGTATTTACAGATATCTGCCAACAGATGGGTCCAATGATAGATGAAAAACTTGAAGAGATTGATAGGTGAGTTTGTGCAGGCAGTAAAAAGTATAGGTTTCCTGTGTTTACTTGTTTTGGGCAGAATTTTAAACTAGTGTTTATGAATCTGTTAAGTCTCTTGAAGTTATTTATCAGGTTCCCAAACTCTTACAAAGTAATAAGAAGGTGGTACTTTTTATTTTGGTATCATATTTTTTTTTCATGGCAGTAGAGTATATGTAGAACCATGGACCGTTGCTCTTATGGTGCCAGTCTTCATTTTCTTACCTGGGCTGGAATTGAGGAATAATGAGTAACGAAGAATAAATTTGTATAGAGTACAACATGAAAACAGACATCTTAAGCAAGCAAACATTGTCTTGTTATGTGGCGAGAGTTAGTATTTGTAAGACTTTCAAATGAAATTTGCCCTTTATTTATGAAGCTAAATCCAATGCACATACCCTTGTTTTTCTTCCTTGTATTTCTGCTGCTTTTAATTTCATTATCCCACCTAGTCTTACTCTTAAAAATAGTAACAGCACTGTAGGATAGACTAACAGGATTTTGAGCTTTTTACTTAGTTTTGCTCCTTCTCCTATTCCTCAGAATTGTCTATCTGAAGTCAGAAAGAGAAGCCATTGTGAATGGAAAACAAGAATAAGGCATTAGCATGCTGTAGTCACCACTTTCTAGTTTCTGTTTATTGAATTATTATATATAACAGCACACAGAGAACAGGAGCTACTTATCTACCTTTACCAGAGAAGGGTAGTAACAGGAAGATTTTTTCTAGCCACTGAAGGTTATACTTTTTGTCCCATTGGTCATTTTAAATAAATTCTTTGTATTTTCTACCAAAATGTAAAATAAATATCTCTTGCACTTAAATGATGGTGGTAGTTTCATCACACTTTATTGTTCTTATTTTGGAGAAGGCATTAACTATCTACTTACACATCTGCTACTTTGGTTTCAGTGCAGAGGTATTAATGGTCAGTGGATAATCAAACTGGAAAAGAAGCATATGGTTAATTCTTATTCACACTTTTGTTAGCATGGACACTAATTTCTGAAGCTTCCTGTGTGTTTGACAACGGGCATTTCTGAAAATAGAGTTTGACCTGCTTCATACAGTCACATGTGCAAGAGAGGAAACAGCATATTTTGTTGTTTTTTTTTTCAGATACAACATTCTAATACAGGAAGGGTGACAAGTCTCAATAAGTCTCAGTCCAGATCTTTTATTTGATAGCCCTGTGTATAGTTGCCTACCTCCTCCTCTCGTCTCTTAAGCCTCTTGCATATATAGAAAGAGCTACATTTAATAAATGGGCTTCTTGGATGCCTTAGGTCAGAAAAAGTGGTCGTTGAACTTTCATGAATATGTCATTTGCAAAGGGTGTTCTTTATTACTCTCAGGGGAACAGACAAAAGTGTACCAAGCCAGGAGGATTTGCCCTGGAGTTCCTTGGGCAAATTTGAAAATACTCTTACTTGGATATGTTTTTATATAACAAGGTATCTTGTTTTACTCAGTTTCTCAAAAGAAATCAGCCAATAAAAGCAGTAGATACTAGTTTATATAGACATTTTCATTTTCAAGGATATTATTAAACATTTTTTTCGGTTGATCCTTTCATGAACGTAACCAAATAAAAATAAATGTGATTTTGTTTGTGAATACGTTTTTTTTTCAGTCATAAGTATATTTCATAGCAGGCTCTGGGCCTTGCCCGAGTACTTTCTTCTACTAAGATGTTTAATTAAGGTCTGGACTCTTCCTAAATTGAGAATTTTTTCTTCTTTGTAATTGAGTTTCCAACAGAAATCTATAACATATGTAACATAATTTTCCTAGTACCAGAATTATGAATTGATTGTATTTTGTGAGGTGTGGCCTTTCCCTAACTTTATGAAGTCATATTATCTAGTTGTTATAAGAATTAAATAATTCCTCCTGTTTCCCCTTTATGAATATTCTCATTGGACAAGGGGGGGGGAACTAGGTTTACAGTAGTGAGTACACAAAATACAGACCTTGTTCTTGTATTAATAATTATTAATTATTGTTTTCCATATGAACAACTGCAAACCTGTTTTGCCCTACTCTGTAAAGAACCATTTAAAATATGAATAGAAAATGTGTTAAATTTAAAAAATAATTTGTGTTGCTAATGTATTTGAACAATAAAAAGATAAAAATAAACAACTTTAAAGAGGATTAAAGTGCTTTTCTCCTGTACCAGGAAACATTCAGAATTGTCTGAATTGAATGTAAAAGTCATGGAGGCTCTGGAACTATATAACAAATTGGTGAATGAAGCACCAGTGTATTCAGTTTATTCAAAGCTCCATCCTCCAGCACATTATCCACCTTCACCAGCTGGGGTTCCAATGCAGGTGAGCATGTTTTCTGAGAACATTTTTCAAAATTAAAAAAATTAATTACCGGTAAACAAAGTTTTAAAGTATAGTATTAAAATTTCTATGTTTCTAAAACTCATTTTTGATATTCAAAAAAATAATGACTAGGCCTGGCCCATGTGGCTCAGGCGCATTCCCTTGTAAACTGAAAGGTTGTGGATTTGATTCCTGGTCAGGGCACATACCGAGGTTGGATCTGGCCCCCAGTCAGGGCATATATGAGAGGCAGCTGATCGATGTTTGTCTCCCTTTCTCTCTCCCTCCCTTCCCCTTTCTCTAGAAATCAATAATTTTGTCCTCAGGTGAGGATATATATGACAAACAATTAGTGCTTACCAGGACAAATTAGATATTGATATTGCCCAAATACATTTTAGTTCATTTTTAACATTAATAAAGTGATCACTAAATACACTTGGGGACTTCTGGTTCTTTATATATGCTTTTGTAAATATAAAGCATAAATCCTTTTAAGTAAATATAAAAAGTAAATATACTTTTTATTAGTGTAAATCCTTCGATTTAGTATACTGTCTGATGTATCTGGTGCTGTTCCTGTTACTCAATAAGCATGATTTAACATTTCTGTTAAGAGCTTAATTATTAAAAGGCTTAGTTAATGAACATTTGTTCTCAGATCATGTTTTCTATTTTCTTAGATGCATGACTTAAATTGTTAAAAATCCATGTATGATGAGGATATGATGCAGATCCACTGATACAGGTTCAATAAGCTATTTATGAACAGCATCTCTCCCCAAGACTTTACATCTTATCTGTCATTCCCAGGAGAAGTAGATACATATTTATTAGTGTCCAGTATTCTGAGGCCTTTTTGAAATTTCAGTCAGCGATTGAATTTAAAAGGAGCTCTGATGAACAAAATTTATGTTAATTTATGAGAACTGGTATGTAAAAGAGTGTGTGAAAGAGATACCAAGGCAAGAAGATAGAATGTGGGTGCATATTCTTGATGACTTGACATAACATAATTGTTAAGTAGAAAAAGAATAGTTACCATGGTAACTGTCACATCGGACAAGAAGCATTTATCAAAAATGCCATGCCCTGAACTTTTGAAAATAATAAAAGAGTCATTAGAGTTGAGGGTAGAAAGAGTTTCTGGGTGCAAAAGACATCTTGAGTTTATTCAATATTGCTTCTTTTTCAAAGAGTTATTTGCTGCTGCTGTGAAAATGGAACAAAATAGAAATGTCTGTACCATTGTATAATAGAATTGTATGTTATATTTGTTTCTTTGTATGTCTTTAAAGGGTTGTCATTCTTATGCCAGGTTTTTGTGTTTAGTTGCATACTAGTTACAATCTATATTTTGCTAAGCACAACTCATTTACTTAAAAAGTTAACTTTCTGTCATTTTGATTCCTATCTACACTATTCATTCATAACAGCATTTGACATACTCAAAGTTTCTATTATAATTTGAAAAAAAAGTTTCTGTACTAAAGAAAACTTGGAGTAGCACACCATTAGCTGTGTCTCTGAAGGCCACCAGAAACTAATGCAGAAGAGGCCCGTTCCCATTGTCTCAGCCTATTGTCAGTGAGTTGTTACATGTCTGCTTAGGAAGTGATATGATCACACTTATTCTAGTTGATTTGCCATTTCTAGCATTCTACATTTTCATGTCACTGGTTTTTGCTTAAAAAATAGCTTAGTTTACTGGAGTGATGATAGTTACTATATGATATTTATTAAACATGCGCTTTTTGTTTTGAATGCTGTATTTGGTAGGCAAATGGTAGATCCTGTCCTTAAGGAGATGTTACCCTGAAAATTAAGTAGGGCACATATAAATATCTGAAGAGACTTAGACCATTTTGCTATTTCATGATGTATCTTCTCCTTTACCCACAAAATTATTCTTTTCTTTTGTCCTGTCTACCCTAAAGGCAGGAAGTAAAGGAGACATTGCCAGGGAGGACCTGCACCCTGCTCTGATACCATTTCTTCTTCAACTTACTGTCCTAATAAGCTTCATTCCTAGGGAGGATTTGAATAAGTCATCCTGGGATGAGTGCAAAGAAGGTCGTCATTCTGATGGCTGCCCTTCAAGGGAGTATTTAGTTTTCTGTGGCTCTATAGCTGCACACATCACTGAGTAATGGACAACCTGGATGAATTCCAAACTGCTACTTAAAAATACACTACCTCCCTTCCTTTCAACCCCCTGCAAAATAAAAGAACAACCAAATAAATAATAAATTTCCATAGATTCGGCACTATGATTTGGAAGCTCTCCGCTTTTTGTACTAGGGTGAATGGATCAGTGAAGCCATTTGTTCTCCTAAGAACTATAACATTTTATTTCATTTAAGTCCTTTAAAGTTTTAAATATATTGTTAGGCAGATGTTTGGGAGTTCAGTGAGTCAACTTTTTCTCTTTGGTTAATAGACATATCCAGTTCAATCACATGGTGGAAATTATATGGGTCAAAGTGTGCACCAAGTTACTGTCACCCAAAGCTACAGCCTAGGACCAGATCAGATTGGTCCACTGAGATCTCTGCCTCCAAATGTGAATTCCTCAGTGACTACACAGCCTGCCCAAGCTCCATATTTAAGGTAAGTTTTTTGGAGCTGTGTTAATTTTGTAATTGTATACGTTAAATATTCACAGACTTTCAGAATGAGAATAAATAGGCCCTTCTGTTTGTAGTAATATTGCTATCTTTTACCATTGAGATGAATTTATAGCACTGCCCATTTATAATCCCATGAAGTAAAACTTGTGCTCCTCTTAGTTTTGCTACCCAGACTGAGATGGTTGTCCACGGCTTATAGTCTGGGTCCCTGGAACAAAATAAAGGTAACTGTCCCTTACAGGAACTAAGCCCGTGATATATTCTAACATACATATACTGTAGCATTGTGCTATAATCAGCCCAGCAAAGGAGTCCTAGACATATTTATCTGTATGCACACCTAAAAATCAGAAAACTGTTGTTATTTTGACTCTTCAAAGAAGTGTGAGTTGTGGAATTTGTGGCCTAATTTTTTATACTAATACTTTTATTCTGAAAATCAAATTTAAATCTTGCCTTCTATTAACTTTGCTTAGGCATACAATGTTCATTCAATATAGTCATGTGTAGATGATATCTAAGGTCTCTCCCCACTCTTAAATTCCATCAGTGTAACTTTTAGATATCTGAAAATTAAATAAACTTGTTCATATTGGTGTTCAGATAAAATGTAAAATTTTATCTTTGATGAGGCTAAGAATTCTGGAGAAGAAACAAGTAATGTAAACATTAATCCTCCTATAATGGAAGCAGTGTATTTTGTGTAATATAAAATAATATATCTTTTAAAATAAATGTATGCAGTTAACAGGAACAAACAAGTCCTGCAATTAGGTATGGTTTTTCAACTTTTTTTTTTTAAAACACTCTAAATAAGTAAACTATAGGTCAGAACTATCTTGAAGGTAGATTAAGGATCCTATGTGGAGTACACCATTCTCGTTGCCTTCATTAATTTTATGTAGAGATTTAAATTAGGCTATTAGGGCAGCTTTGAAAGTGCCCTACCAAAGGAAAGTCTAAAGAATATGTGTGGCAAAGAGGTGGTCTCCTTTGTCCTGGATTGAGAGATGGGGGCAGGGAGAATATGGGCTGAAGGTCTACTTGTGCTGCGGTTTGTTCTCATTGAAGTTTGCTCAGGATACAGCTGTCAGAAACAATCAGCATCTCCTCCAAAGACTTTTAAATGATTAAATGGGCCATATAATCTTATATTTTTTATTGCTTGAATATCTTCTTCTTACAAAATATAAAAAATACATTAACAGTGTTGGGTAGCTGGAGTGAGTAAATCATTATCAGAATAGCACAGCAAATAAACTTAAAAAGATAGAAAAGGCATTTTTTATTTTCTCAGGATGATTGATCTCTAACCATAACCTAGATAATGCAAAGTAAACATGGTTTTCTTTTTAAAAATTTGTTTGTAGCACTGGACAGGACACTCCTTCCAATCCAGCTTACATGAACCAGAACTCTACCCTTCAGTCAGCTGCTGGCACAGCTGCATACCCACAGCAGATGGGGCTCTCTGCGGACCTGTCATCTTACCAGAACACTGCGTCCAGCTTGCCACAGCTGGCAGGCTTTCCGGTGGCAGTTCCAGCTCATGCAGTTGCACAGCAGCAAACAAATTACCATCAGCGGCCTCTCCTTTAGAAACACACCAAGCATTTTGTTGAAAGCCTTCATATGTGTATTATTCAACCATTACGATTCAAATCTGAAAATATTGAAAGAAAAAATTTTTTTTCTTAACTCAACATAGACCATGAATGAATAAAGCACAAAATCTTCTTACTCTACTAGGCCATAAAGGGATTTTTTTTTTTCACTCGAGTTTGTTTGAAGTCAAACTTCTGAACAGAGGCAGCTCCAGGTTTTTTCCAGTTGATTTTGTCTTAATTGCAAGTTTCCCTGCACAAATCTGGACACCCCGTGGGTAGCCTTATGACACTAACCAGCATGAGATATGTAAATTTTATAAAGAAACCACCCTTTACTCCTATAATAGCGTGTTGATAAGGAGAGCACTGAAACATTTAGATACATTTTGTCTGCATATTTTTTTCAGTATCCCACATACCATTATTTTAAAAGGCAACCATCTTTTTGTGCAAGCATTTAGCTTGCCATCATAATTCCTTTTGGCTCCTTAAATTACAGTTGTAATGCTTTCAGTTTTGCCTTCATTGTATGTTGAGTAATAATTAGCATATAGTTGTCTGCAGAAGCGAGCAATTTGGAAGGAACAAAAACGTTTTCTGTTATTAATAGTGAAGACCATGCAAGTGCAAATGTGTAAAAAAGTATTTAGCTAGTCCTCCAGTCATGCCAGCAGTGGGCTAAGAAATGCCTCATAAAACATTTCCATTACCTGGAGAACATTTATTTTCCTACAAGGGTCCCTGGTATTTAGAATTGCCACTATGTAGGCCTTTCAGATGACTTTGGTCATTCTGTAATGAAGGTATGATCTTTTTCCTTCATACAGTACAGTGTGCAGAGATGCTATATTCCCTTTTTATGGATGACATGTGAATTTGAGCCATGAGACCTGACAATTTGATGTGATGTATGCCAAGCATGGATGTTAAGTGTGTGTTTATTGATAATGTTGCTTCTTTACAGAGGTGACTCGAGTACCATTGCTATGCCAGGCTGCCGAAAAAAATCAGCCATTCTGTTCAGGAGTAATTCTGAGCCTGTGGAATAACAGCAGGCAATGGATTGGTAGGAAAGTTAGCAAGACAGTTTTTCTGAAGCATACGTTTCAAATTAGTTTATAGTACTAATAGGATTCCATTATAGGAGTCAGTAACTCATAAGGGACTATTTTCTCTCCTAAAAATTTGCACACTACTGCATTATCTACCACTTTTTTAGATAACAAAAATTAGAAAATGCAAATAAAGCCATAGTAGAAGCAGTAGCTATATGTTACAGAAACACAAAAGCCCCCCCCCCCCGCCATGTTATTTACAGGAACAATTGATGTTAAAACTATATTTGGATTAAGATTTAAGAATTTTTAATAGGTATTTGAACTATTCAAGTTTATTTGTATAAAAGAGGCTAGCATCAAGAGTTCTAACTTACTCATACAGAAGTCTATTACATTTATGTCCTAAAAAAAAGAATGCGAATACATATGCTTACAGATACATAACAGACTAGAAGAAACCATGGATATGAGTTTGTTTTTTATAATGTTAATTGTATGGAAGCAAGATTTCTGTGTTGTTTTTTTTTACAGAAATCTGTAGTAGAAAGATTAAGGATAATCTTTCTATGGGTAATCTTTCTACTAAGAATCCATGTGAACACAGTGCTCTGGAAATTTTTTGTCATTTACTGTTTAAAGAAATTTGGTTCTAAGTACATTGCTTTTTTTCAAAGAAATTGTATCCTAGAACAAAATTATATACTACTTGGACTACATTTAAAGGAAAAAACAAGCAGTATCTGAAAACCCAATTTCTGTCATTCTTTTATTTCATATGATACAGGTGACAGTAAAAAAAGTTTTAACCTTTAATGCTTTGTGTTCTGTTTTTCATCCTATATTTCTTTTCTTTCTATGTGAATTCAATTATATACTTACAAAAAATTCTAAAATGGCACCTTACTTTTTGGAAACAAATCTATTTAAAGACTACAAAGCATAAAAAACATTTACAAAGCTGCTCTTAATAATAATGTTTGCATATATATGGAAAATCCTTTTTCTCCCAAACAATATTTAATAAACAGTTATTTTAATATTTGTGTAAATATTTGATGTATAATTGTGATTGGAATTGTAAAAGCTTAATTATGCTTAAGTCTTGAACTAGTATGAATACTGCATACCCACTAAATTGGGATCAGTCAGTTGAGTTCACCTAATGTAGTTTTTGAATAATGTAATATGCAACATGTACATAAATAGTGTATATTGGCATTTATCTGTGAAATTTTATATATTCAGAAGTTTTGTCTCCCTCTTAAATTAAAAATAATTTTATTTTTGCCATACTGCAGTGAAGTTTGTGTTTCAGGTTGTTGATAGTATAAAAATCTTATTAAATCTGTGTAGTGAGATTTAGTGTTAAGAAATACAGCATTGTTATTTTTCTTTCTTTTCCATGATCTAATGGATTGTATTTATTTTCAAACCTGTTTATAATTAAATGTTTTCTGCCAAAGGAACTAACATCAGATTTCTACATTGGGTTCATACTTACTGTTTTTATAAAAAAATAAAAATAAGTTCTGCTTTTTCACATGAAATCTTGGTACATGAGAAAATTCCTGAAAATTAAAATAAAGTTTTCATTAATGTAGAAGGCTTTCACTTGGGTGTTAAAATACATGAAGTGGGATATGTTTTTACAGTGTGGAAAATGTAGTCTGCCAACATTGTCTTGGAATTTGGTGATTTGTTTATAAAATTACCTGAATATGAAATAATTAGGATTTGAAATTACCTGCAGATACATTGTCATCATATGCTGTTTCAATAGTTGATTTTTTAAAAAATGTTTTAAAGACACTTAAAATTATTTTTTAAAATTTATTATAAAATAAATATTTAGGGGGAGGGAGGGAGAAAGAGAGGGAGAGAAACATCAATGTGTGGTTGCCTCTTGTGTGCCCCTACTGGGACCTGGCCCGCAACCCAGACATGTGCCCTGACTGAGAATCAAACCAGCAACCCCTTTGGATTGCAGGCTGGTGCTCAATCCACTGAGCCACACCAGCCAGAGCAGTTTTTTAAATTTTTATTTTTAGAAAGGGGAAGGGAGGGAGAAAGGGAGAGAAATATCAATGTATGGTTGCTTTTTGAGCACCCCCTACTGGGGACCTAGCCTGCAACCTAGGCGTGTACCTTGAGTGGGAATCGAACCGGCGACCTTTCAGTCTATTAGACCATTCAGTCTAATGCTCCAATCAACTGAGCCGCGCTGGTCAGGGTGTTATTTTCTATTTTTTAACATTATAGCCATCCTAGTGGATGTTGAAGTGGTACTTCATTGTGGTTTTAATTTGCATTTTACTAATGACTAGTAATGTTGAGCACCTTTTCACGTTACTTGTTGGCCATTTGTATACGAGGGGGGACCTTAAAAAAAACCTGAATTATCTTTTGGAGGGTGGGCCCCTTGTAGTACAGGCTTCCCCCACTAGCTGAGTGTTTTAGGAACCCATCTGTATCAGTGTACCAGCTAGTGTCGTGAGAGGCTAAGTTCAGCTTAAGTGAATTTTTTTTGAAGGCTCAGTGGTTTGTCCATTCATGATGGGTGACTTACAAGCATACCTGCCCACACCATGCTGTGTTAACGAAAAATGGAATGATTCCCATGCCCCACCCTCCCTATTCATCCGATCTCACCCCAAATGACTTTTTTTCCCCTCCTGATAACAAAAGTCCTCAAAGGGAAATATTCTGCTCTTGTAGAAGAGGTGAAACAAAAAATAGCAGAAGCACTAAAAGGCATCAAAATTGACGAGTTCAAAAACTTGAGCAGTGCACAAAATATCTCGATAGCTGTATTGCATCAAATGGAGAGTACTTTGACAGTGCTGGAAGTTTAAACATGTAAGACTAAATACACAATTTTTAATAAATTCCAATTTTTAGGGTTCCCCCTTGTATCTTCGGAGAATTACCTGTGTAAGTCCTTTGCCCATTTTTTCAATTGTCTTTTTGTTACTGAGTTGTTACTGCTCTTTATAAATATTCCGGATTTTAGGCCCTTATTAGATACATGATTTGCAAATATTTTCTTCCGTTCTGTAGGTTGTCTTATCTCTCTGCTGATGATGTTCTTTCATACACAAAAATATTTAATTTTGATGAAGTCCAATTTATTTTTTCTTTTGTTCCTTATGCTTTTGGTATCGTAACTAAGAGTCCATTGCCAAATCCAGGGTCATGAAGATTTTCTGTTGTTCTAAGAGTTTTATGGTTTTGGCTCTTATAATTAGGTCTTTGATCCATTTTGAGTTAATTTTTGTACATGGTGTGAGGGAGGAATCCAGCTTCATTCTTTTGCATGAGGTAGTTGTCCCAACACCATTTGTTGAAGAGACTGTTCTTTCACTTGCCACTTTTTGACACTGGTATACCCTAGTGGTAGTCCATTCCAGGACCTAAGTTTTACAACTGTGATGGATCAACCCTGTAGCTGTATAGTTTACAGTTTTAAGAGGTGACAGCCTTGTCCTTATCTGATCACTTCCGTCACATACCTAAAAGGGAGTCAGTACTATCTTGTTAGGATGTAGCTCACAGTGGTGAAAATCCCATGAATAGATGTGTTAGGTGTCAATGTAGAGATGGTTTTTAGCTGTCACATTTTTTTTTTTTTTTTTGCCTCCAAGTAACTCCAGACAAGTATTTTGAAAAATGTATTGTTTAAAAAGAAAAATGGGGTTTCAAACGCCAGCTGATGATAATCACAATTCTTTCCTGGGAAACCCCCCAGGAAATTTTACCTGCATGCTATTAGTCAAAACTGGGCCAAAAAGCTACTTACTTAGTAGCAAGTGAGTCTGGGAAAGTGAGTATTTTGCTTTCCAGCCTCTATATGTATAGAGAGAAGGCAGAGGAGAAGATTGGGAATGAAAATAGAGTTCCACTATATAGTATCTGTTGTGTCCGAGTTTCCAATGTGGTAAATAAATTCAAAGTCAAATTGCTCTGTTGGTGTTCCATGGTCAAATAAGCTTTTGTTAAGATTCTCTAATACAAGGACTCTCAAACACTGTTTTTAGTCAATAAAGACTAGAATTAATATATTTACATCTGACCTGATTGTTAAAACCGACATTTAAAAAAAAAACTCAGACACAGTAGGCCATGCAAGTGGAGTTGGGGATAAAAGTTTCAAACTGCTGTTTCTTCTATTTCAAAACTGATGAAGAAATTAAAGATTTATTAGCAGTCATTAATTCATTCAACATTATTATATGCTGGGAATACCAAGAACTTGAGTTTCCAAGCCTGAGTTGTATTTATGGCTTCACCATGTACCATCAAGTTGCATAATGGTAGACATTGCAGTTTGACTTGATTGAAAACCATTTTCATACACACTATCATTAAATTCTCATAACACTTGTTAGGGAGAGAGGCAGATAAAGAGATGAATCTTCACAAGCTAGTAAGTGGCAAAGCTGGGGTTCTAAACCAGGCTCTGCCCAGCAAGCATATGCTTTTCCTCACTATACTAGTGTGACTGTTACCTAGAAATAATTGTGTAATAACGTCAAATAATATTCTGTAACAGCTTCCTTTCCCACAAAACACTGAGATCAGTGGGGTCCCAAAGGGCTCACCTGGGTATAAAATGCCTTCAGATGTGAGAATACTCATGTAGGAAGGGCGTAATAGTGGCTGGATCTATTTATGTGTACATTGCAGTACAAATAGCTATCTCACAAGTGGGCTGATGAGACCAGAGCTTGATGTAAACAGACTGGCTCTGCGATTCTGTGAGGAGGAGGGGGTCAAACATCAGAGAAAGCAACTTAAGGAAGCTTATAGAATTCTGTACTTTGTGATTAGAAAAGAGCAAAATTCAGGGAATTGCTCTGAGGAAAACACCCGGTAATAACTAGATGAGGCTGTTTTGAATTAGGAGAGTAGTTTCCAGTTGACGCGATGGGACCTGGGGCTTACACTCATAGCCTGGCTTCTTCAAGAATCAGAGTTGCTGAGAAAAATCATCCAGGCTGAGGTTCTGGTATGATCTGGATTGGACCCAAACTCTTTAGATTACATATTAGTTAAGATCTCCATGATCTCGCCATCGGCAGCCCTTCTAACCCCTTTCACTTTGCTGCATGCATGCTAGATTCCAGTCCCCAAACCTAAAATTCCTTAGGTGCCTATTTTGCTTATTCACACCTGTTTGTTTGGTCCTGTTATTTTTCACTGCCTGAAGTTCTCTTGGCCATCTAACAAATTGTCTTTTTCAAGTTTCAGCCCAAATTTCCCTGATTCTGGCCCCTAGTAACCATGCTGTACTTCCGTAGCATCTTTTAGCTAAAACTTTGAAGAAAAAGGCTTTTGGCTCTTTCCCTTTCTCCTGGCTTAGAAGGCAGGTGCAATGTTAGGAAATAAAGCAATCATTTTGTGACCATGAGGAAAAAAGTTAGGATGGTTCAGGAAGATTAGAAGGACCTGGTTCCTTGATAACAACTTTGATTGGCTGCACCAGTTGTAGACTATCTTCCTCTGCACTTACGTGAAAAAAATAACCCCTTGATCTGTTACCCCTATTTGTCTAGACTACTGTTGGTAGGGTTTTGCAATTTGTATTTGAAAGCATTCCTACCCCCTCTAGGTCTGTAAAATCCTTTAGAATTTGGAGCTGTGCTTAATTCATTGGTGTATCCCTAGGGCCCAGCTTAGGCACGTGAAATGTTTGTGAGATGAAGAATAAAAATGGATTTAACAGCTGCATAGCACCTTACAGTGCCTGGCATTCAATAAATGTGTTTTGTTTGACCCTTTTTTATCCTTGTGCTCGTTTATCATCATTACATTTTAATGTGTCAAATCAGGATGTATTTTACAGTGGATGCACATGTATTGTAAGATTTCATTTTATTCCCTTAAAGCTATTCAATCGATGATACATCTTAAACTTCAAGTTGTCTTAGAATCCAGGGAATATGACATTATTTTAACTACCAAGAGACAAGGAGACTAAGGTCCTAAGTGTCAAAAAGGCCAATGACTCTATTTAAAAAAAAATCATAGTGTTTCCAATGCTCATCAAATAATACTCATGGATGCTTTCCAGAGCAGGATGCTCATTTCTCCTCTCTGAGGCCAGGGATTGCAGCCGAAGCAGAAGCACACTGAACATTTCTTTCTGCCTCTTGGCAGGAAACTGTCCATCACCGACCCTTGCTGTGGGCTGGGGGAGGGGAACTGGTTATGGAAAACACTCAATAAAGGGGTTGCCTAGAACGTTGAAAGGTCATAGATACTCAGGCAGGTGACACTAGCAAGAGGCATCGCAGGAAGACATGGGGATAAGGGCAAAGCAAATTCTATGTAGTGGTCCTGACGATACTGAATAGCTTGACTTTTATGTCCCACATGTTTATTACATTGGTTGGGAGCCACTAATATAGATTTATTCAAGTTCTCCAACTTTGCATCTCTATAAGCCTTGTTCACTGGGCACAGAGAAATAGAAAAACTAGAATTTGAACATTACTTGGAATTGAATGTACATCATTCGGCAACTTAGAACTTCTAGAATACTTCCTTTAAATGTTGTAGAAAGAATTAACATAATTTATGACAACCATGAAAAATGGCAGAATGAAGGTAAAGGACAGAGGAGATCAGATTTTATAACTGTCTAGTTAAATAAGCTATCCTTCATGTCAGGATTGTATTG